TGTTTAAATATTTCAATACTACTATTTAGGGCCGTCATCGGGTTAATTCATTCGTGACTAGCAAAATATACCTTAGTCGTCGCTAGATTAGATACATCGATATACGAAATGCAAATCATAGATATAGCAGCACAACAATCGATCCAACATTAAATGAAATACACAAAATACTATGTGTGCTGTGCAATTGGAAACTCGGCACAAAAATAAATTAAAATATACATTTACACAATGGTGCAATAAAAGTAAGATGATGCCAGTAAAGTGGTGTTTGTCATAATTTTGACAATTTCAGCAACCTTTTTGGCAGTGCCGCCTATTTAATTTTTCTTAGAAATGTTCCAATATCCTTTTTTTTGCTGTGAAAACCTTCATGTAAGAAGCCAGACTGTTCTTTTTCGCAATTTTCCTACTAATCTATGAACAATTTCGACAATCAAACCATATACATATCGTGCCGTCTCTGCGTTAATATCGCATATTCAATAGTCGAGATAATGTAAGAAGAGAAATGCCTTGCATTTTTTATACCTTTCATGAGCATGAAATGGTATCATAACTTTGGTCCGATGTTTGTAAGTACCAGAATAAGGAGAGATAGACCCACTTAAATGATCAGAACGCCGAGGTGAGTCGATTTAACCATGTCCGTCTGCCCGTCTGTTTGTATGCAATCTAATCTCTCAGTTTTCGATATATCCCAATGAAATTTGGTAGGTGGGTGTATTTTTTAATATCTTAATCATTTTTCGGAATCGGAAGGATCGGACCACTATAACATATAGCTCCCATACAACTGATTGTTCAGATATGAGTTTTTTCGTTATAACTTCTCCATTTAGGTAGCCAGGAACATGAAATTTTGCAGTACTTCCATCCATTATCAACAAAAAACTTAGGGTGGAAATTACAAAGATCGGGTCGCTATAACCTATAGCTCCCATACAACTGATTGTTCAGATATAAGATTTTCCTTTATAACTCCTCCATTTAGGAACATGAAATTTTGCACTGTTGTCACTCATTATCAAAAGAATACTCTCAGTGAAAATGGCGAAGACCGGGTCGCTATAACCTATAGCCTCCATACAACTGATTGTTCAGATATGCGATTTTTTGTTTAACTCCTCCATCTATGCAGCTGGGAACATGAAATTTCGCAATATTTCTACCCGTTATCAAAAAAATACTTACATTCAAAATGGCGAAGATCGGTTCGCTATAACCTATGGCCTCCATACAATTGATTGTTCAGATATGTTTGTTATAACTCCTCCATATATGCAGCTAGAAACATGAAAATTCGCACCATTTTCAATCATTATCAACAGAAAGTTTACTGCTATAACCTATGGCCTCCATACAACTGATTGTTCAGATATGGGGCTTTACTGTAAAACTCCTTTATTTGGACAGCTTCTTCTTCTTTATTGGCGCTGTAACCGCCTAAGCGATTTTGGCCGAGTCCAAAACAGCACGCCAGTCATTTCTCTTCTGTGCTAACTGACGCCAATTGGAAATGCCAAGTGAAGCCAAGCCCTTCTCCACCTGGTCTTTCCCACGCAGAGGAGGCCTTCCTCTTCCTCTGTTACCAGCATGGCGGCCCGCGTTGAATATTTTCAGAGCAGGAGCGTTTCTGTCCATTCGAACGGCATGGCCAAGCCAGCGGCGCCGCTGAATTTTAATTCGCTGCACTATGTCTATATCGTTGTAAAGCTCATACAGCTTGGACAGCTAAAACCGATAAATTTCATAAACTATTTTATAAATAATAATAGAAAGTCTACTGAGAAAATCATCAAAATCTATGCTGTATAAGCTTTAACTCTTATACCACTGATTGTTCAGATACCAGTTTTTGCGATATATCTCCTTTATTTAGGAAGCTAAACCCATTAAAATGTGTTACCGGTTTACATATCGATCATTTAGATTGGTGCTATATAAGGTATATCTTCCATACCTCTGGTTGTTTAGATATGATTTTTTTTATATGTGTCTCCTCTATCTATGTATGCTGTGAATATATAAATTTTTACAAATGCAGTAATCTATTAAAATTTTCAGATGTTCATAAAAGATATGGAGCCTTCGGCAGCTCTGGTCTTACTTGTTACTTAATATGTCTGGTTCTACTAACACTAGTGAGCACCCACATTAAGTTTTTGTTATATTTTCAAACAGTGGGTCGCTTAAACTGTATAAGGTTATGAGTGGCAATATTAGTTTTCCCAAAAAATTTAGATACGGGTTAACGCAGAAACGACACGATATGGAATATCCTCTCTCTCTCTCTCTGGTCCGCGTCTGACCCACATTGGGCGGCAGGACAATTCTCACCTGACAGTAGGTATAAAAGCCAGTTTATATCTCGAATGCGCCCCCCGTACACGGTGAAGCAAGCTTCAGCGGTCCAAATGGAGGGAGCAGTCCTCTGTCTAAAGAAATCTCTCAACGAATGTTACGTAGCCACCTGTCCCGAGAACAAACCTCCCAGGTGACACACAAGGCGGTGGACGGTGGAACTAAGGCAACTAGTAAGGCCTTCAATAGAGCGAAGTTCACTAAGGACGTGGAGGATTGGGAAGAATAACGTCGCAACTTCAATGTGTCCAAGAAAGAGATAAAGAAGGTATCGTGGTCGAAATTCTGTGAGGACCTTGAAACGAAAATTAAAACCGCTCGATTAAGAAGGTGCCCCTCAAAAAACGTTGCTCCTCCCGGTTTTCTGGAAAAGCCAGGAGGAAGGCACACCGGATTCAGCCTTGAAACACTAGAACACCTGATGGACGTTCCCTTCCCTGGGTGCGGCAACGCAAGGGACACAGTTACCCCTGTACTAGCACACCCTATAACCCATAGGCAAGGTAGTCCAGTTGACGAAATGATCACTGCTACACTACAAATCTACGGGTCCAGATGGAATATTTCCCGCCATGCTACAACGAGAAAGTGCCACGGTAACTCCCTGGCTAAGAACCATCTATACGGCGAGTTTCCTCCTTAGCTATATTCTAAAGCCATGGAGGGAGGTAAGAGTGGTCTGCATTCCCAAAGCAGGGAAGACGGGTCACAGTATCGCTAAAGACTTTACACCCATCAGCGTTTCATCATTTATCCTCAAAATAATGGATAAGATTCTAAGTCCGCAGACCACGCGACGCCTTACTCCTGAGAACTTCAGCGAGGCCCATCATGCCCACCGCTAAGGTCGGTAGGTCGGTTGAAACAGCCCTGCACGAGGTTGCCGGAAGTATAGAAAAAGCACTAAACCATAAAGAATATGCGCTGGCACCCTTTTTGAACGTGGTAGGCGTTTTATCTCTTATGATGTGGAACCCGTGCTTAACGAATTGTGACGAAATCTACACATCTACATGGTATCGCGCTTGCTCTGGCCACGGCTTGACGAACTAGGAACAAGTAGTTTATTAAGACTTTCAAAACCAAACCTTAGGCTTTTAACAGGAAAACTAACGGAACACTGGACCATTGACCATATCGCACACCGTCTTCAAAAGAGTCACCATTCAGAATAATACGTTTCTCAGAAAACGTGAAAAACTATTTCTTAGCACATAATAATCATATCGGCAAGGGCGACTTTACCTTACGTTTTTTTTAACAAATTATTACAAAAATTTTCTCCAGCTTTTGCTGAAAAATGCCAAATTTTGAGTTGTGACTCTTTTGAAGACGGTGTGCGATATGACAGTCAGGTTCGGAGCACCGCATAACGATTTCTGTATATGCTGTAGAGATGAGGAGGAGGTAGAATCCGTCCAACACTTCCTTTGTGAGGGTCCAGCACTCCGGGGGAATGCCTCAAGAGCCTTCGAGAGCCAGGATACCTTGGGCAAAACTCCACTGGAAGGATTGCTAGGCTTAGCCAGAGAATCAAATTGGTTCAAAGACATGTAGAGATAGGCATGCGGTTAACTAGCCCCCACCCCGCATCAGTGACCGGACTTCTACCACATTGTGGTAGATCTGCCACTTTTATGAGCATCTACCACATTTACCACTCAGGGTCTGAAATCTACCACACATTCGCGTTTTTGAGTAGTTTTATTTTTGCTTGACATAATTTTCTTAATTTTACACGATATGGTAACAAGAATGATATAATGCAATATTCTTCATTCCCGGCGACGATGAAATTTTTCAAGTAAAAGTAAACAAAGCCGAATGTGAGGATTAAATAAACTGTAAAATAGTAAATTTTCTCAGTAATACATTTTTCGTTAGGAAACGCCGTTTTATTGTGTTAAATTGCAAAATATGTGATTTATAAAAAGAATTAATAGCGAAAATGTTAAAAACCGGCGAGTTTTGTGAAAGTATTAGCAAATTTAAGTGCATGAAAGGTTTCTGAGGCGTTGTTTACTTTTACTTGAAAATTGTGAAAATCGGCAAATCCCAATTAGCTGTTTCTGCAACGTGCCACATTTGCTCGCTACTTCGTGATGTGATAAAAAGAAAAGCTGGCAGCACTCCACTAGGTTGCAGAAATTTCTTAAAATATCTTCGAAAAATATATTGATATAGAAGGAACTGCTTTACACTGTCAAGGAAAAGAATTGCCAAAATTTGACGCAATTTTTAGCAACTTCAATCTTCCACTTTATTATACTAAAATTAGATTTTTATAGAGTCTAATTAAAAAGTTTGCAATTTAGGTGAAACCTTGCAGAATTTTTTTAATTTTTGTACAAAGTTTGATCCAAACCCAGAGATGTACCACGTTTTTTTGAAATCTACCACATTTTTTCCCAGATTCTACCACACAGAAGTCCGATCACTGCCCCGCATTTAAAATGATAGTATGCACTTTTTTTTTATATACTCGTATGTTTCGCCATTTATTTATGAAATGATTGGTGCATATTTCATACTGTTTCGTATGTGTGTGTAAGTGTGTGAAACGAAAACGATTCATATAAAATGCATAAACATAAAGGACGAGTAACTTTTATAAACAAAATCTGTTATGATCCTACCATTGATTATTTGATGTTCCAAATGCTCCAGGCCCACTAACTCTGCGCTGAGTGTGTTTTACGTGCATTTTCTCCACGCATAAAATGCTGTGTGAACGCTCTGTCTACGGGAACACACTACTGTCTGTCACCATACTTTTCACTGGTTGTCTCTGCTCGTTTTATTTTATTTACATATATCGTCGACGGTGAAAGTTTTTGACATCCTCACTTTTACTACACTGGCTCCTGTGCGTACATCTTTCTTATGCTTCACTTATAAGAATGTCCATATGTATGGATTCATGTATTTATTGAACAAAACATGTGTGCATTCATACATCTGCTTCTACTATAAATATACGCACATTCATATGTATGTATGGCTATGCAGGAGTTCAGTTCTGTTGAGTGTCCTTTAGTTGAAAGGTGGTGGGTGGGTGGCTGGTGGCTGGGTGGTTGTTGCAACTAATTTCATTCAACTTTGCACCTCTGCATTTGAAGTGCATTCCGCATAGATATTTGGTAGGATATTTGATAAAAGAAGTTGTCGTTGCTGTTGTTTGTGGATTTGGTGGGTACAGTACGAAATACTAATGTAAAAAGGACGTACTAGTGTAGATTTCTTACGTTACTATATACGTATGTATGTATTTTTATACTCGTAATAGATGTGTAGGTACAATAGCACTTTAACTTCTATGGGATGTAGTACATACATATGTTGTAATAATAAATAAGTAGGCAGGGTTTGAGTATCGATGTCGCTAGTAACTACAGTAGCACTTAGTATTTATGTATGTATATACTAGTTCAGTTGAAAAAATCGGCGTACTTTCTATTAATTTTACTTGAATATATGTACATACGTAATAAGTTTTGCTTATTTGTATGAATATATTTGCTTAGTTTTCAAAATTGGAGTCAAATTATAGTAATTTGTAATTTATTTTCTATTAATTTTCTATTTATGTACTAGTAATGCTGTTTAAGTTTTGTAAAGAAATAAAAACAGAACCACGTATGTTTGGTGAAGGGTATATTCATTTATGCCGTTATTAGAAACGTGGTGTGATTCGCGCAGTAATTATTATATAATGTGTGTTGTTGGCAAATTCCCTGTTTATCACAAATTTCTACCCACGATTACATACACTTTCATTAAGCACCGCACTAGATTATGTTTTCAGAAAAAGCAATCGAATTTTTAGTTCCACCAGTGCTTTAAAAATAATTATTTAATTAGAAATATATATAATTTTAATATAGATTTTTCATTTTCATGATCCTTTTGTGTTTAAATTATGTATGCAGCTCTTATTTCTTATTTCATTAGTGCAGGTACATGAATTTCTTTTTATTCAAACTCTTTACGGAATTACATTCGCTATGTTAGATATTCTTATTTGATTATGTAATTGTTTTCATTTTCATTGAATGTGAGTGATGCACATTCACTTTCTTCGTCATAGCGAACATCACATGCACATACTCGCTAGGTTATAGTATGTGTTATGACATGTACATTTGTATGTACGCATACATACATTTGTATGTATGTATTTTATGAATTATATACGCTCGCAAATCATATTGCTTTATTTTCCTTCAAGCCTCCGCACTCACATACGCTTGCACAAAGTTTGTAGGACACGGAGAAAAACACTTTTAGCACTTTCTACATTCTCGTATTGTACATAAAATTCCGATACTCAAAGTGAGTTATTAAATTGGTATGTAGGTATGTGAGCAGCAATCACTTGCTTTCAGGAGCACCCCTCTGAAGGCGTACAATGGTTCACCATCTCGTATATTTTGGGCCACACATTTTGCCGATTATGAGGACCAAATTTTCTTTTACACACTCAAACATATTTATATTATTTCTATATTTTAACAAATAACTTGGTGAAAAGGTGAATCGAATATTATGTGACTTGTAAAATCAATGCTTCCCATTTGACCTCTATTTTTTTATTAATTTTTCGCAAATTTTGTATATCTATGTACATATGTAATGTAATATTTTTCACCGCTAACACATTTCGATTAGGTGTTACACAATTAAGCACTTTTCAGATCCTTTGCGTTTTTTTATTATTTTACATAACATCCTAGTGCATTAGGGGAATTGTTTAATCAAAAGTTTCATTTGATTAGCCCTTTACTTTCACATTGGCCTGAACTACTCGATTCGGACTCCCCACTTTAAGTAAACCTGCCTTATTCACGGATGCATTGCTTTGACTTGTTATTTAACTTATCCGTATGAAAATCAATAAAGAATGAGCATGTCCTTTAGCCCGAAAGTTGGGCTATCCTCTATGTTATTCGAAGAGAGTGTGCGAGAGTGCTCTCAGGAGCACAACAATTGCGAGCTTTTCATTGCAACCGTGTTGTGTTTCATTCATAAAATCGAACGCACCCAACGCTCAGCCGCTTTTAAGTTAGTGTCCAATGTGAAAATTCGAATACTATATGTACATATGTATGTATCGTCACCTGAAATGCATAAAGACGTAACAACATGGTAAATGAAATGGAAAAAGTCATGACTTATATTTAAATTTTTTTTTTATAAAATGATGTGGGGAGTTGTAATTCGATGAAATCCATCATATAAAATAAATCAAAAAATTAGTTTTGAATTTTTTATTAGATATGACTTTTTGCATTTCATCGATGATGTTTGTTACGTCTTCTTGCATTTCAGATTACGGTATGTAATATGTATTTGCATAGGGAACCATGTGCATTTGTGTCATTCACCTTTAAATAAATTTTAACCCAAATTGTCCCATATTAATTTTTTTTCGATTTTTTTGGTTTCACCTATATACATTGTAAAAGTAGCGTTAAAGTAAAGGAAAAAATATGACTAAAACTTTGGGAGTAGTATAGTTCTGCCGATATCGGCCGTTGCCATATGGCAACACGGGGCATATTCCAGATGGATTGTTAGAAGACAGTATTTGGTTAAAATATGAAATAATAGAAACATTGTGTATAAGTTTTAATACATTTATTGATAGTATATGCATATTTTACGTGCAAAGCGGATGAAGAAGTTAATGAAAAATAGCAAAACATTTCAAACATAAACCCACATCACATTTTGCACAGGCTACTCGTCCTATAGTTTTACATACTTCACCAGCACAAAGAAGTTTTTTTGTAAATTTGTATGGGTCAGTGGTGTAGTCACAAAAAGATATAAGGTCCCAGTGTGGAGACCCCCGAGGCTAGGTATTTAGCATCGAGCTGTTAACTAAAGACCACAGAAAGTATTTGGGAGTAGTCTTGGAAGGTAAGCTGCTGTGGATGCGCAATGTTGAAGAAAGAGAGAAGAAGGCCAGTAACGCCCTTTCTGCATGTAAAATAATGCTGGGAGTCACTTGGGGTTTGTCACCTGCTCTGATGCATTGGTTCTACACAGCAATAGTCAGCCCAATACTGCTCTATGGCGCTTTGGTGTGCTGGAATGCCGCACAAAAGTCCTTATGCCTCGGGCCAATGGGGAAGGTGCAGCGCCTAGCGGCACCGTGCATCGCGGGAGCGCTGAGGTCCACTTCTACGGATGCTCTTTAAAATCCCTGCTGCGAAATCCGCACGTAGATTAACGGTCATAGAGAAATTAAATTTCAGAACCTTTGGGCACCACTTAATTGGGGCGGGAAGCACAAGCAGCACAGACTTCATGGCACCTAGCTTTAAGTGGAAACGAACTTTTTGCACAACGATTGAGGAAGAGGGATGGAAGTGAAACCTAGCCATAGATCCATAAAGATTTTCACGGACGGCTCTAAAATGGTTACGGGAGTGGGAGCCGGGATTTACTGCCGGGAACTGAATGTCAGGCGGACAATAAGGCTACCTGACCATTGCAGCATATTTCAAGCAGAGGTTTTCGCAATGAGGATAACTACAGAGCTAGCCCTCACCGAAACGACAATCAATTCAAACTTAAACCTATTCCAGGCGCCAATCAAGGCAGTTTCCTGATATAGTCCATAAACGTCATTTCATCCATAAACGTCCCTCGCAGCCTGGAAGCCATTGACAAGCTAGACGCTGATAAAAGGCTACATATCTATGGGTTGTCCGGTCACAAGGGTATCTAGGATAATGAAGAAGCAGATGAGAATGCAAAAAACGCCAGCAGTTTTCCCTGGAACAGACAAACTACATTCGTATACCACTTCAACACTTGTACAATGAAATATACGATAATATGATTAGGCAGTTCAGCGCTGGATGTAATGTGTTAACCGTCTACAAAACTGAAAAAATACATACAAACGATTTTTGTTTACACCGTCTCATACATGATGGTATTTTGCGTTGCCATATGGCAACACGGGGTCAATTTGGGCTAGCGAACATATCAAAATTTAGTAAAAAGAGGAACAGTTCACATTACGCCCCGTGTTGCCATATGGCAACGGACTTAAAAAACACTTAAATTATATAGCATGCACGATTGTTTTTTATTCTTACTTGTTACCAATAGAGTCACTACTGTTTTAACTAATATTTTGTCACTATCATATTTTGTAAATAAAAATAACGTTTTCTATAAATTCATGCTTACTTCTTTATATATGACATTTTGATGTTTTTTTGTCACTTCTAATTTTGTTTAAAGAACACACTTGCATTACACGGAAGCGTAAGCGTTTCGAAAGATACTCCTTTTAGGAATTAGTTAACGTACATTTAAGCATTTTGAAGTAAGCGGTTTTTGTTTTACACCCTCTTTAACATGATGTATTTTGCGTTGCCATATGGCAACACGGAGTCAATTTGGGTTAACTAATCGACCTCGTATGCGCGAGGCTTCGCCACGCGCTGAATGTGTACATAAGTAAGTACATATACGCAGCAGGTGGCAGCCCTATTAAAAAATTAAGCCTTATTGCACACCTAATGGCTAAGCCCTTTCATTTGACATGTTATGTTTTTAATGCAACGAACGGTGTGGATCTTATAATTTTTTATGCAGGCGGCAACTCTATTCCAAAAAATAAAACCTTAGTGCACATCTGGGGACCAAGTCCTCTCATTTAACGACTTTTTAGTACAAGTGGCAACCCTCTTCGAAAATATAAAATCTTATTGCACATCTGAACGCCTAGCCCTTTCCTTTGAGACCTAATTCTTTTTAAATGAATGAACTGCGCAAATCTGATGTAATTAACAAAAAATGCCCTCACGTATTATATGCAAGGTTGTAATTTTTAAATAGGTGGCAACCGTGCTAAAATAATTAAAGCTTATTGCATATCTGAGGATCATATCCTTTCACTTGTTTTTTCTTATCACGCGTACAGCTCAACTGTACGCTTTTCACACGTATATGCTCACCAGTGATCGGACTTAAAAAAATTCTGTGTGGTAGAATCTGGGAAAAAATGTGGTAGATCTCTGGGTTTGGATCAAACTTTGTAGAAAAATTAAAAAAATTCTGCAAGGTTTCACTTAAATTGCAAACTTTTTAATTAGACTCAAAAAAAATCTAATTTTAGTATAATAAAGTGCAAGATTGAAGTTGCTAAAAACTGCGTTGAATTTTGGCAATTCTTTTCCTTGACAGTGTAAAGCAGTTCCTTCCATATCAGCATATTTTTCGAACATATTTTAAGAAATTTCTGACCTTGTGGAGTGCTGCCAGCTTTTCTTTACCAGGTAGCTACCGATCCATCAGTCCTGTAGTTGCTCCCCCGTACCGCAGGGTATGATCTTTCTATTAACATAATTTAGCTGTTGGGATTTCTATTTTTTTCGATCAAATTTAACCGATATTTCTTGATTCTTATTTTTCTATCAACTTTGTTTGCTATTTTGTAATTTTGTTTTTTCGATAGAAAACGGTTAAAAGTCAGCGAAAAATTAAAAAATCAAA